GACTTTGGCTCAGATCATGATCTCATGGTTAGTGAGTTTGAGCCCCACATGGGGCTCTCTGCTGTCAGCACAGAGACAGCTTTGGATCCTGTGTCTCCCTCTCTCTGCCCTTCCTCCTCCATTAATAAATCAACATTAAAAAAAAAAGATCGGTCCAGGCTAAAGGGCATGGAAATAAAGGGCATCAAAATATTTCAAATTTTGATAAAAGAAACGGCTAACTTCTCTTCCATTGAGGTTATACCAATTTACACCCCCACCAATGTTATCTTAGAGCTCTTGTTTTCTGGAGTCTTCAGCAGCATGGCATTTATTTTTTCCTTATGCTATACTGAGACACAAAAATGTTTATGACTTGCCCAGAATTAGACCTAAAGGCAGAACTGGGACTTGGCCCAGGGACTTTACATTTACGTCATTCTTTTCATCATTTCATTTAGATTTTCATTCATTTCTCACACATTTGGTGTACTGTTTTTTGAGTTACAGTACACCAAAGTTTACCTCAAGGGCTTCCCAGATGACCAGACCTACACTTACATTTCATCTTCCTAATCTCTTACACATAGAAGCCTAATTTCTTTTATTGTTGTTCTATAAGGGGCTCATGGTATAATCCTAAATTCCAGCTTGTTGAAGTCTAGTCCTCTGTCAGGGTACACCCACCCCACTTCCTCAGCACCAAACAAAGCCCAGGACGTCTGGCACAGTATCAAGAGGTATGTATTGTTTAATTAAATCAATTTTAAATGTATCATTCTGTAAGGGACAAAGATGTAATATTTATTGGGTACCTATTATGTGCCTGTTGCGTGGTGCTAGCTGTATCCAATATACCACATAATTTATTCCTCATGTTAACCCTGGAAGTTGGTAAGCCTCATTCAACAAGAGAAGAGAAAGAAACAGGAAGAGATTAAGCAACCTTCTTAATGTAACCCAGAGTAAGAGGTGGGCAGAACTAGTATTCAAACCAGTCATCCCTGGCTCCAATACCAGTGTTTGTCCACATCCCAGGAGCTGCCTCCTAGGGCGCTTTGCAAGGTGCAAAATATAAGGGATTGCCAACAAACTCTGTAATCAAGATAAATGATATTTTAATGCAATATTAAAAATAAATAATTAATGTAAAACAACTCCTGATAAACAAAACATCAAAATTTTCAATAAAGACAGTATTATTCTTTACTGATTTTCATTTTGCCTCACACTCCAATATAGCATCCCAGAGTACTGTTGCTGATCCTGTTTTTATTTAAAATCATAAATGGGGGGCCTGGCTGGTTCGGTCAGTAGACCATATGATTCTTACTTAATATAGGGGTCTTGAGTTCAAGCCCCATATTGGGTGTAGAGATTACTTAAAAATAAAATCTTTTTTCCCCTGTTTACTTATTTTTGAGAGAGAGAGAGAGAGAGACAGTGTGAGCAGGGGAGGGGCAGACACAGAGAGAGACACAGAATCTGAAGCAGGCTCCAGGTTCAGAGCTGTTAGCATAGAGCCTGACCTGAGGCTTGAACTCACGAACTGTGAGAGCATGACCTGAGCTAGTCAGATGCTTAACCAACTGAGCCATCCATGTGACCCATTAAAAATAAAATCTTAAAGGGACACCTGGGTGGCTCAGTCAGTTAAGGGTCTGACTCCTGCTTTTGTCTCAGGACATGATCTCACAGTTCCTGAGTTCAAGCCCCAGGTCAGGCTCTATGCTGATAGCACAGAGCCCACTTCGGGTACTCTGTCCCCTTCTCTCTCTTCCTCATGCACTCTCTTAAAAATAAACATTCAAAAAATAAAAATAATAAAAATAAAAACAAACCATAAGCGATGACTTAGACTGTCATTGGACGAAAATATAGTTTTATTTATGTAAAACAATTTTTTAAATGTTTTATTTCTGAGAGAGAGAGAGAGAGAGAGAGACAGTGTGAGCAGGGGAGGGTCAGAGAGAGAGGGAGACACAGAATCTGAAACAGGCTCCAGGCTCCGAGCTAGCTGTCAGCACAGAGCCTGATGCTGGACTTGAACCCATGAACTGTGAGATCATGACCTGAGCCAAAGTCAGACGCTCAACCGACTGAGACACCCAGGCACCCCGAAAATATAGTTTTAGAAGGATTAAAATATTGGTGGTGTGTCAGGGCAAACTGAAAGAGAGAGAGAGACTGGAGGACTTTGAAGGTTGAAAAGATTTTGCCTGGTGGAGATGAGTTCAGAAAAGCAAACTGGGTATGAAGTACATGGGTGTAGTTCTACTTTTCCCTGCTAGCTCTGTGCTAAATAACTTGGGAAGTATAAGAGAATAAGATAGTTGAACACTTTTAATAAACTCTCTGTCTCCAATAGGCTGAGTGACAGGTGTCTTACCACTTCTGATGACCATGTTTGATCCTAGGTCTGACAATAAACCCGGGTGAGCCCTGGCAACTTTCCTTTCACTTTTTTTTTTTTTTTTTAAGATTTTATTTTGAAGTAATCTGTACACCCCAGGTGGGGCCCAAACTCACATATCCAAGATCAAGAGTCAAGACTGAGCCAGCTGGGAACCCCTTCCTTCACTCTTGATGGCACCTGTTGGGGGAGAATACTCCAAGTTCTCCCTATCATTCCTCCTCATTATTTTAGACTATTTGATTCTGTCTTCTCCCACGTGCAGATTTGTCTTTCTGGACCAACCTTCCAAATCTTTCTAGATGCTCCAGATACAGCTATTTCGGGTGTCTTTCTCTGGAGCTTTTCTCCCTTGGTGTATAACATGTGGCACTGTACACAGCGTACTTGTTGATTTTCACATGCTGTTATCACAATGCAAAACTATGTCTAGGATTCTGGAATGAGAGTAGTGTGCCATAGGGACCTCAGAGTTAACCTGGCCTAACTCTCCTCAAAATGGAGGCATTGGGACTTAGCCAAAGTCACCCCAGAAGCTGGTGGCAGGATCTGTCCATTTCCCTTTCACTGCAAGCAACTGGCCCCTCTCAGTCCGATTTCTGTTCTTGAGTTCAAGCTCTGGTATAGTTCTTCTCAAAGAGTAAAGGAGCAGAAGCAGTAGGGATCTGCACTGTGTACTTGGGCTTAGAGTTTGGCCGTTCCTTCTTTCACAGAGGTAAGCTCATCAGACTGTCAAAGGGCACACAGGAAGGATTGGCATTTGTCTTGTTTGTTGAGGTAAAACCATGATTCTAGCTATGGTTCTAGACAGTGGTGTTTCATTTCTAATATGCTTCTCTGATGACACCCAAATCTTGCCAACCTTTTTAGAGCAAGTGTACATTGGCTCTTATCTTAAGGGAATGCTCTCTAACTACTCTGAACTTCCTTTTCATGGCCAAGATGAGTTTTGTCTGATGGTCCATGTTACTCAGAATGTGACCTCATAAACCTGGCTGCAAACTATGTGCAGTCTGAATGTTTTGCCAATTGAGTACAAGAAGATACAGAAAGGGTGAGAGATAACATTTCTTAGAGGCTGGTCAAAGAGGTAAGAGTTCAGGAGATGTTCAGTATCTGTAAGATTGTTGCATTTAAAGGAGTGGGTGTGAGAAGAACAGAAGGTCAGAAAAAGGTCAAAACCTTATATCTCGCAGTAGCTTAAATGTCTCACGGGCTCAGGCCTGTAATATGAATGAATAAAGTTTATAGATAAGATCTGTAGGAGCAGCGGAGAACTCTAGACAACACTCCTGAATGAAAATGGGCAGCCAGTATTCAGTGTCAGCCAATGGCTGCCATGTTGGAAGGTAGATCAAAACGTTTATAGATCTGATTTTTCAAGAGAATTCAGAAATCTGAATTTTTGTATGAAATTAGTTAATTTTTAAATGCTGGCAACAAATCCGAATTGTGAGGGAGGAAGAAGAGAGGAAAACTGAGAGCCATATGCGGGCCAAGAGAACAATGGTACAACCCAGGGTTTGCCAGTTTGTCACTCCTGCTTTATGCAGACATCTTGTCTTTTCCTAACAATTCAAGTGGTGTTTGGGAACTTACTTCAAGGTATACTCAGAACTATATCAAATACAGTCAGAATTTCTATTTCCTGCCAGTTCTTTAAATTTATCCATACAGTCTTTATTGAGCACCTAACATGTGCAAAATTATCATTACATCTTATTAAAATGAAATATGTTAACAATTAATTACATGAAACAGATACAACTTCCATAATTTCATAATGGTCCAAATGACTCTGAGATACATACTTAAATTCAGCTTTTTTTTTTTTTTTTTAATATGGTCAAGTAGAAAGAGAATTCTTTTTTAAAACCTACTGGAGCACTACAATTCACCTCTGAATTTAGAAGATTAAAATGGGAAAGTTTCAGAACATAAGTCATCCGTCTGTTTAAAAGTAACACTTCTAAAAGAATTCAAGGGCAACCATCCTGAAAATCTTTTCACTGGAGGCAATTTTGACCTCCGAATGGCTTCTATCCCAATAGAGGTCATCTATGACACCAAGCAGTACACAAGTTCATACTAATTCCAAAAGGAAAAAAAAGTTGGGAATCTCGTCAGCTGATTGGGTGGAAAGTCACTAAACAATTCAGCGTGGCTCAGGGTATCAATGGCTCGTGGTTACATTTTAATATAAATGTGTTAAACAGTATAAGTTGTATCCGTCATCTCACATGAGGTTTACATCAGTCTCCTCACTTTTTCCCCTTATTTTTTCCAACCTCCCTCTGTACTCCTGTCTCTCTCCCCAGGCTACAGTTTTTGCACATTTAAGGTATGCCTACTTCTGTTTCCACTATTTCTTCTGCTCTTAATCAGGGTTGAGACTCTTCAAAAACTTTTTAACGTGTCTGCTGCCTCAGAGATTCTCCATACCCCTTAGACTCTCATCCCAAGGCCCACGCCCTCCCACCCCCAGCCCCACTGCAGAACCTGGACTGCTCCCCACTCTCCATCCCTTTTCTCTTGGCTTAAGATGCCCTTAACTTCTCCTCCCCGGCTGCGTACCTCCCCCCACCCAGGTTCCTCCCCAGGCGGGCAGCCTCAGCCGTTCCAGAAATTGACGAAGAAGTTGCAGAGCGAGTGCCACTTCTCAGCACAGTAGGTCTCCGTGAGCTTGGCGTTCTCGTCCAGTCCGTCGGGGTCCGGCCCGGTCCCCAGGGGTCGCTCGTGGTCTGGGTCCGAGGCCGCCTTCCTCTTGCCCGCGTCCGTCTTCTCCGAGGGCTTCCCTCTGGGAGGCGCGCCGGCGGGAAGTCGGGCCTCTCGGGAGGGGCCCCGCGCGGGCTCCCGGGGCCGCCCCCGGCTCCTGGCCCGGGGCTTGGGATCCCCGGGGGAGCCCGCCGCAGTGGGGCGCGCGGGTGAGGACGCGTGGGGCACCAGGCGCAGCTCGGCGCCGTGGCCCTTCCTGCCGGCGCACAGGCGCGCCTTGAGCGGAGCGGGGTCCTGGCACGGCCGCCGCTTCCTGCGCAGCCCGCCCAGCACCTGCTTCCAGTAGTGCGCGCGGCGGGCGGCGTAGGCGGCGCAGCGCTCGGGCTGCCCGCGGTAGGCGCACTGGTGGCGCGCCCCCGCCGGGTCCTGGCAGCGCAGCGCCAGCTCGCTGCCCGCCGCGGGCCCCGGGGCGGGCAGCAGGAGCTGCCAGCTGCACGCGTGCCGCTCGGGGCTGACGAAGCGGCCGGACGAGCCGCCCGCGGGACCCGGGGCCGGCTCTGCCGCGCTGCCTGCCGCCCCCTGGTCTCTCCCGGCGGCCACGAGGAGGCAGCCACTCAACAGCAGCAGCAGCAGCAGCAGCAGCGGGACCGACGCTCGCTGCCTCGTTGGGCTCATGGTCCGCGGGCTCTGCGCTCAGGTCGGATCTTCCGGGACGCCTGGGCGCTTCAGTGGTGGCAGGGCCAGGAGAGCAGCGTCCCTCGGACCTGGGGACGGAAGCAGAGACCGCTGCCCAAGTTCATCTACGAATCCCCCTTCTCAGACTGTCTAAGACGCTGGCTTCCAGGGGACAGCAGCAGCCCGGGAGAGGCCCTCTGAGAAAATCTCTTGCTTGTCTAAATCATCGTTTAAAATCTTTTTGAAACCCGGCGCAAAGACAAAAAAAAAAAAAAAAAAAAAAAAAAAAAAAAAAACGATGCTTGAAAATTGCCACTTCAACCCCTTTCCCTTCTTCACCCTCCAANAAGCAGAGACCGCTGCCCAAGTTCATCTACGAATCCCCCTTCTCAGACTGTCTAAGACGCTGGCTTCCAGGGGACAGCAGCAGCCCGGGAGAGGCTCTCTCTGACACTCTCTTGCTCGCTTACATGATCATTTAATCTCTTTTAAAAACCCAGAAAAAAAAAAAAAAAAAAAAAAAAAAAAAAAAAAAAAAAGAAAGCGATGCTTGAAAATTGCCACTTCAACCCCTTTCCCTTCTTCACCCTCCAATAAACTATCTACAAATTCATTTCAGATTATTTCTGGGAAACATGCATTTTGACCGCACTTCGAGCTTACCGTGTTCTAGGAGAGGTGTTGGAGCTTTATTAGGGTGGTGGTAATGACTGCGGGAGAGATTAGTCCGTCTTAGCCCGCTCCCAGTGAGTGAACGTGTTATGAATGGGACAGGAGGGGCCTCCCCCACTCTGCCCCTCCCAGGCTTCTCTCTCACTGGGAAATTTCCCACCACCACACACACACACACACACACACACACACACACATACATACACACCCCAAATGTGTGACAGAAGCGACACTGTGACATGAATATACATCTTCTATTTAGCTTCCAATGTTTAAAATAATCATGCAAATTTTAACGTCATTCTTTTCTTTCCTTTTACATATTGAATTATCCCAACAAAAAGTTAAACAGAAAGATCTAAATTTTAAGAGTTAATGAAAACTTTCATGTTAGAAACAAAACAACTGTCCGTGTTCTAAATCAGCACGACACTCTCTTCTTCATATGATTCGGAGTTCTACCATATCATTCTGAGTTTCACCCAGCGCTTCCATAGTGTTTATCTCTTATCCTAATAATGTAATGTTAATAAAAATAATGAAATGTACTCCTAATTAAAATGTATCCTAGTTTTTTAATTTACCATAGTGTTCTGCAGTTCACCCAGGGATGGGCATTTGGGCTTTTGATTGTTTTTAGGTATTGTAAATCAATTATAAACTGCTTGCAAAAATTAGAAGTCAAAAATAAAACTTATTTGGATTATAGTTACAAAGTAGTATTACCAATTCAAATGGTATCAACTTTAAGAGTTAACGTGTTCTTGAATCTTGAAAATTTTATATTTAAGCAAAGCTTGAAATATTCCATCATCTTTTTAAAAAATGTCTCAGTAACAAATGTGTGTTTTCATTTCAAGAGTTTATAACACTTTATAATCGTTCTATGAGCGAGTGAGTATTTTCCTGAAATAATTACCCAAGATGTCAAGAAGTCTTGTTTTACTGCAGACAGTTTTTTCTATGACTGAACTTCCTTTTGCTATTGTATTTGAACAGTCATAATTTGATCACTATTATAAAAACCAAAATACTTCAGAATTAGAAGAATGAATTTAAATATACATTAGTATATATTTAAATATATAGTAGTATATATTGACCTAAGAATGGAAATTTTTTAAAAAATATTTTTATTTATTTCTAGGAGAGAGAGACAGCGTGAGCAGGGGAGGGTCAGAGAGAGAGGGAGATACAAACTCTGAAACAGGCTCCAGGCTCTGAGCTGGCAGTCAGCACAGAGCCCGACGCGGGGCTCGAACCCACGAACAGCGAGATCATGACCTATGCGAAAGTCGGACGCTTAACCGACTAAGCCACCCAGGCGCCCTAAGAATGGAATTTTTTATTTCTCTGGTGAGATCAGAAAGATTAAATGACTTACCCAAAGTCACACATCATTTAGTGAAAAAGCCACAAGCTTTCAGTGATCAATAATCTTTACATTTCAGTTTTGTATTACACTACTGTCACTTTCAAAGTTAGTTATGTCTTTGTTACATCAATTTGATGTATCATGAAAAGTAATTAGTACCTATGAAGTTAACAAATATTAATATGTTTCCTAAATAAGAGTAGCATATTAATGTACGTCAAAGATGGAAACTTTCTCCCAGAAAACTGTATTTGTGGGAATAAAGCACTGGTAAGTTACAGACTTGTCTGTTGCTCTGGCATTACTTCTGATGTGCTACTGAACTGAATTGGAATCGTTTTGCAGCTAAAGAGTGACATCTTGTGACATTCTGTACTAATTACAATGAAAAAGTTTATTAATCTGAAAAGTCCTAATCCTTAAGAGAGCGATTCCAGAGGCATTGTCAGAAACATTGTTCCCCGAGGAAAACGGACACACAGATGTGCTACACCATGTCAGAAAGAGGGAATGTCTTACTATAAGTTACCTTTTATAAACGGTGGTAAAATAGGCATATCACAAAATTTATCATTTTAAGCATTTTTCAGTGTACAGTTCAGTAGCATAAGTACATTCACACTGTTGTACAACCACCAGCAACATCCATCTTCAGAACATTTTTTTATCTTCCAAAGGTACCTATTACACAATAACTCCTCATGCCTGCCTTCCTTCACTTCCTGGCAACCGTCATTCAACACTGTTTCTATGAATTTGACTATTCTAGTTACCTCCTATAAGTGGAATCATATAGTATTTGTCCTTTTATGAGTGGCTTATTTCACTCAGCCTAATGTCTTCAAGGTAATTCCATTTAAGGCTGAGTAATATTCAGAATTTCTTTCCTATTTAAGGCTGAGTAATATTCCACTGTGTATGTGTATATATATATATATATATATATATATCACATTTTGTTTGTCTATTCATCTATTGATGGGCTCTTGAGTTGCTTTTACCTTTTGGTTCTTGTGAATGATGCTGCTCTGAATATGGCTGCACAAATATTTGTTTGAATTCCTGCTTTCAAGTCTTTTGGGCATATACCAGAGTAGAATTAATTTCATGTTAGAAACAAATTTTATTTTTAATTTTTTGAGGAAACTCCATACTGTTTCCCATAACGGGTGCACCATTTTACATCCCCTGCAACAGTGCACACGTGTTTCAATTTCTCCAAATACTTGCCAATACTTGTTATTTATTGCTTGTTTGCTTGCTTGTTTTTGTTTTTATAATGGCCATCCTGTTGGGTGTGGATTGATATCTCATTGTGGTTTTTTTTTTTTAAGTTTATTTATTTTTGAGAAAGAGAGAGACAGAGAGGAGTGGAGGGGCCGATGGAGAGAGTCCCAAGCAGACTCCCTGCTGTCAGCAATGAGCCGGATGAGGAGCTTGAATCCATGAACCGTGAGATCATGACCTCAGTAGAACCTGAACCTGTTAAAATCCTTTGCCTATTTTTTAATCAGGTTGTTTTTGTTGTTGTTGTTGAGTTGTAGGAGTTCTTTATATATCTAGATATTAACCTCTTTTTCAAAACATTTTTAAAGATTTTAAGTAATCTCTCTACCCAACATGGTGCTCAAACCCACAATGCCAACTGAGTTACATGCTCCACCAACTGAGACAGGTGGGCACCCCTAGATATTAACCGCGTATGGCTATAGGATTTACAGTATTTTCTCCCATTCTATAGGTTGCCTCTCTGTTGATAGTGTCCCTTGATGCACAAAAGTTTTAAATTTTGATGTAGCCCAAGGAAAGTCACTGTTTAAAATATGATGTGACATATGTAAGAAAACAAGAAATATTGATTTTTTAAAAATGATCTTGTCTGCATCAACGATCCAACAGGGCTGTTTGGATTCATACTAGACTACCTAATGATTTAGAATGGGATGCATTTCTTGATAATTTCAGTGATCAGCTGCTTAGCCCTGCCCTGTGAATTAGATGAAGGAAATGCATTACCATAAGGAACAGTCTATGCAGTATCTCCTTGCCTTCTCCTAGAGGTCAGCTGCAGCGCCTGACTCAATAAACTTCTGAGGTGAATAGGCCTCCTGCCTTTTGGTATTTTTTTCTTTCCCTTAAAATTTTTTTGTTAATCCTTATTTTTTAGAGAGAGACAGAGTGTGAGTGGGAGAGGAACAGAGAGAGAGAGGGAGACACAGAATCTGAAGCAGGCTCCAGGCTCCAAGCTGTCAGCACAAAATCGACACGGGGCTCCAACTCAGGAACCCACAAGATCATGACCTCACCAGAAGTTGGACGCCCAACCCACTGAGCCACCCAGGCACCCCTTTTTCTTTCCTTTTTAAAGTAATTTCTACACCCAATATGGAGCTTTGAACTCATGACCCTGGGATCAAGACTTGCACACTCTATCAACTGAGCCAGCAATAAAGACCACATAATTCTTTCTGTATGTAAAATCACCTTTGCATAGTTCAATATTCAAATTTTCTTTGTTTTATCTGTATTTGCCTAATCTCGCAAATTATATTGTAACCTTTTTAGACAAGGATTTTTTTTAGTTCTTTGTACCTAGTACAGCGTTCAAGGCAAAAAGTTGATTGCTGGAACTCTCACACATTGAGAGTATAGAGTGGTATAATCACATTAAAAAACTGTTTGACACTTTCTTATAAAGTTAAATACTTTATGATCCAGCCATCCTACTTCTAGATATCTACCCAAAGTAAATGAAAACATATGAGCACAAAAAGTCAGGTAAAAGAACTTTCATAGCACTTTATTCATTGTAATAGACTCAAAGGGGAAACAAACTAATTATCTATCAGCAAGTGAGTGGATAAAAAAATTGTAATAAAAAGCTGTTCATTACTCAGCAATAAAAAGGAATGAACTGCTATAGCATGCAACAATTTGAGATTAATCTCAAAACCATGGTGTTGATCAAATGAAGCCAGACAACAAAAGACACACAAAATGTATGATTGCATCTATACAAAGTTCTAGAGCAAACTAATTAATGGTGGGGAAAAAATCAGAACAGAGCTGCCTCTGGGGTATGAATGGGGGATTATATTAGCCAGGAATCAATATAAAGGAACTTTCTAGGGATTGTATATTTTTAGGGCAGCATATTATATTTTGGTAGAGGTTTAGGTAACATGTAAGATACATATATTTTATTGTATGTCACTTTTACCTAAAAAAGAAGCCAAACCTATAAACAATCATTCCACCTAAGTTAATGATATCTATGTCGAGTGTTTAGGGATAAAGTGTATTGATGCTAGCAACTTGTTCTTAAATGTATAAAAAATCTGGATGGTATGAATAGAGAAAAGTGAGTAGTAGATAGTTATGTTATAAAGGAAATATGGTAAAATATTAATTGTAGAATCTAGGTGGTAGGTATATGGGTGCTCACTGCATAATTTTTTCAACATTTTTGTACTTTTGAAATATTTTAATTTTATTTTAGTTTTTAATGTTTATTTATTTTTGAGAGAAAGAGAGATAGAGTGCAAGCTGGAGAGGGGCAGAGAGAGAGGGAGACACAGAATCTGAAGTAGGCTCCAGGTTCTGAGCTGTCAGCACAGAGCCTGATGAAGGGCTTGAACTCATAGACCATGAGATCATGACC